TAGAGATCATTAAAGAATTTTTGATTTTGAGTTCTTAAGTTAGTTTGTTTCCCACTTAGTTAATATTGAAGTATAAATGTTGGTTTATTTTGAAGTATGTATGTTGTGAGCAGGCTTGATTCGTGAACGGGAGTGACTTACAATTTTCAATTTTGTCGATTTGTGTGTTCTTTAGGAATTTAGTTTGTCTTTATTTTACACAGGCCACATTCAACGCTTTTCTAGCACAGACAGAAGCTACATGTAAATATCTACATGCATTATCTTAATTCTCCCAATTTGAGGATAAATCTGTTAAGAAAAGATAACTAAAGAGCGGTAATACTTGTACTGAGAATAATGCCACTTCCTGATAAATACATCTTGATGTGGTTTTAAACGACAGTGTCAGCATACTGGTATAAGATGAGTATTTTGTTTTCAAATCAGTAATGATAAAAACATCAATTACACGATAAGACCTGACGTGCACGTGAATTTATGCCTGATAAAATTCATGATAACCTGGTTAAGGCCTTGAGCCTAAACGTTCTTGGATATCTAACTGTATAACATATGTTTTGATAATTCAAATTTTATAAATAGAAGCCATGGCATAACGTATCATTTACGGTGAATTACAAACACTTTCGTCATCCATTATAAGGTAATCTTTAGCCATCTTTCACGGAAATTGCAAAATTATAATCGGAATTATCTGGCAGTTAATACATGTAATTGAACAGTAAATCCAGGTAATCTGTCATGTATTATCATATCACAAATCGAGATTTTATCAGGTTAAAGATAGTAAAATAAGTAGAGCACTATGAATGCCAAGCGGAGAAAAAAATGCGGTCACGTTATAAAAGTTCAAGTTTATAATCGTTTAAAGGAATTTTTTATCTCATCAATTTCTCATTTTCTAAATATGAGCCGCGTCAAGACAAAACCAACATAGTGCGTTTGCGACCAGCATGGGTCCAGACCAGCCTGCGCTACCGCATTATGTTGGTTTTGTCGTGACGCGGCTCAAATCTTAACAATTACTCGTACATGAACTGACTCAATCAAATAGTCTGCAATTTAATGCAGATTTGTTGTTTTGCATTGAATCCTTTTCCAGATTTCATATGAAATATTTAGTTTTACATTATTTATCTAATTTGTTTCGGAGTAGAAACGTTAATACATTCATTTTGCATTGCATTTAACGTAACCAACTCGTATACAATTTAATTTATAAAACCTCCAACAAGACACATTTGAAAATGTTGCAATTGGGCGAAATGTTGTGGCGGTATACTATTTATATTTGCTCAATACGATTGTGTGCATTTATTTTATCAAGCAACTAAAACTTTTGCAGATCAAAATGAGTCAGTAAGTAAACTCGATGGAATATTTATGTACATTCTTGTGTCTAAAAATCTTGATAAAATGTGATCCCCCGGAAGCATTTAAACACAACAAAATATACATTAAGTTTGTTCTTAATTTTTTTATTTTTTTTTTGTTTCTTCATACAGTTAAAAAGACATCGCTCAATTTATAAAATGGCCAGAACCTTTCGTTCTAGTTCGTTCTAGTTCAATGCTTTTGTCTGACTTTTGTAATTTGTTTTTGAAATCCATTAACTTAGCATCTATAAAAGTTTAAAGTTCGATTAAAAGTCAAAAAGTGAGTAACCGTTTTGCTTAATAAAACATTATTAGATCTGCTCACAAACATTCTATTGTTTATAGCACTGTGTGAGATAATACTTCACAGAATCCATTAAAATTTCATCGTCCAGCAATATCTGTTTTATAACAAATTACGTGCGGATTGATCGACATAAACAAAACCGATCAAACCTCTGCGAAATTTGCCAAACATTACAGGTATCAGAGAGAAAGTTAAACACAAACCAAAAGCTTACCGATGAAATTCAAGAGAGATTTCAGAATGCCAGGCTAATGGAATGTTGATGGTTAAAGCATTTATGAAGCTTTGATTTTATTGGTGTAAGTAGCCGAGCAGTTCACTTCTTCATCACGATTTATGATAGTTTTTTTGTTGGTGTTCAAATACAAGTAAACTGTGAGATTTTGAATCTTTATAAAAAGGAATTTCTTCCAGAAGATTTTGTTCGTTAAACTTTTTGTCTTATAAATGCTCTTGAAATAAAGATTGTAATGTGTAAAATACAAGCGTTCATAAAAATGCATTTATCGTCTTAGTGAATTCGTAAGCTTCAGATTACTAGCAGTACCATTTTTATAAACTATAAACCGAGTTATCATGAAAGAATTCTTAAGGGGATGAACAATTTCTTTTTAAAAGATGTGTTAATTGATTTCATTTTAGAAATCATGAAATTTATAACTGAAATAACTACCATGAAAATTATGTTATTTGCAATTTAGCAAGTATTTAAATGAACTCATTGGAACCACTCTGTTTATTTATACCTGAATGCGATCCATGCAAACATATCGGTTAATTTAAGGTTTTTTTTGTTTTATTTTTTTTGTATTTTTTTTTGCGCAAGTGTTTCTGACAAAATATACAAAACTAAGATGTGCGTAATATCTAAGTTAAAACAACGTGAAGAAACGTATGCAAGCACATCTCGACAGACATCTTTCTTGCCTTCCAGCTATGCACATATGTTTTAATATGCTTTCTAATCGCAAAATAATTCATATTCATGCACATTGATGCACACAATATCAGCCTTAAGATCTTTAGGCTTTTTGATGTAAGCATGCACCGCCCTATTTATGAGTACGTTGTAAGGTTACCCTTTGATTAAATTGCTGTTGTAATTAAGCACGTGACAGTAATATAACCGAAAGGTTGTAAATTTTATTAGCAATGTCACATAAATAGGTAAGGTACAAATATTTTCAGAAATGTGATTTTTGCATGTTTTTCAGACTTTTTTCAATGTATTTTTATAATTATGTTTTCATATAATCATTAATGAAAATAATTCGTTAACGGATATATTTGTCAGAGTAAAAATTCTTGAAATAAAAGGTAATGTATATACCCATTTTGTACTTGTTTCATAGGAAAATAATATATACACATTTTGCATTTGTTTCGTGGGAAAAAATCTTGGGAATCATAGGATATATTTATTTTGTATTTTATATGTACACTTTTTTATGTTTGTTTTAAAGGAATATAAAAGAGTGGGTACTTGATATACACAATAGATGTTTAGAAATATATATTAAATTTTGTTCAGGTGTATACCCTTCATAATCACTTATCAAGGGTCCATTTTTTTATACAATTATTCTTCTAAATACATGTGTGTTAGTATACGGGTTATCATACATATGTATCTCTATTATATCGGCATGTTGCTGTCAAATTTTGAAATATTAATATATCTTAAACGATAACATTTTGAAATATCTATCTATCTTGATTTATAAAATTTTGAATTATTTATCTTTCCTGTACTGTAAAATTGTGAAAGATATGAATCTTGAAAAATTAGAGCAGCTGGAGATGGAAGCGATTATAATATTAGTCGTAAAGATTTTAGACAGATTATATATTAAAGTTAGAATGATCGTTGCGATATGTCTATATAAAGCATGAAAGAGGGTTAATAGTCTTTAACGACAGAAGTGCTTACTTTGTTTATTTTCTTTTAAAAAGTCAATACGATTAAGTGTATATTGGTCATTTAAAACGCCACAATTTGTCAATAAAATTCGGCGTTACAACCGTGCAGAATTATATCGGTACATATATTGTAAAGATTTTGGTTGAGCAGCCAGTCTACCTTAGTCTACGTTTTTTTCCTGATCTTGGTAGACACAGCAACCTAACAATTGTTTGTTTTTTCTTATCAATTTCATATAATTTTATATTTTCTTTGAACATTTGCTTTGAAATATTTCGGCACATTCACTTGTGTTAAGACTGAATTTAATATAGAGGCATCTTCATATCAGTTATGAATAATATAGCTGTCAAATATCTTTCATGCTTTTGATAGATCTAACAGAACAAACTACTCACTCGAGGCTTGTGTAATTTAAATGTTTTCTGACATTTCTTGCGGCGGGATGAAAAATATATCTAATTTAAGCCTAGCAGTATGCCTCATTAATTTAAACATTACCTTCGAATTTATCGTAAAACATTCCCCCTGCGTGTTGCCGAGCTTCATTACGGGCATTAATTAGAGAAAAATACCGCCATTATACATGTGATTATATGGTATCTCTGTTACATCGTAGAAGAATTTTCACGATAATTACTGGGATTTTATGATGCATAGTTTCAGCGAATACTTATGTTTAATGTGATTAATTACATTTTCTTCTTTTCATTATAATTAAAAACTAATCATAGCTTTATAGATAAGGTGTACTATACAAAGTGCAGGCAGTTTAAAACACTTGAAAAAGGGGAAATTAGCACTACATAAGGTGCAGAATGTTAGAAAATTAACGAATATATCATATAAACGCTCCGAGCTCTGTGTTTGTGAATCGTTAAAGTCTTAATGCAACCAAGATGTCTTCACATTAACTAGAGTAATGCACTAAATATCGCCTTTAATTATATAAGATAGTCTAAATAACTGAATTTTCTAAAAGTCTTAATAAACAATGCACATTATAGAAACTTGCATTGATGCCTTGATTATAATATTTGAGCGAAATTCTACTTATCTGTTTAAATAAAGGCTTTTCTTTCGGCATCTGATATCAGACAGCTTGTTTGATTATTATTTAAGTATACCTTTTTATGAATATATGCATTTTTCTATTTTCGTATCAAAATCATCACAATTAAATGGCTTATAGTTGGGCATGAAACAACATATAACTGATTTAAAAACATTAGTATTAGTATGATACCTTAAAGTACCGTAAAATCACTTGCAATATTTAATTCCAGTATAAATTGTCAGTAGGAGTTGTAACGAGGGAGGGCTGTAAAATATATATACACACAGGGAAAAGTTTTATAATTATCAAATTCAGGTGATCTATGAAACTTCTTACCGAGATCAAAAACGATCACTTTGGGTTTTGGATGATCACGTAATACTTCCTCCAAATCCTCTAATTCCGTGTCTGACGTTATTGAGCGTTCCTCTGACGTCACTGAGCGACATTCTGACGTCGACATTGTGTCGGCGGAATCCGGATTATCATAAAGATCCGGCAGAGTATCGCGTTCTTCCTCCTCGAAATGATCCCGTTCATCTTCTGAAGCCGAAGCCATGTTTTTAAGACTGATAAATAAATACAAATATTCAAATATTTACAAATAATTACAGGAACAAACACCTTATTAATAGAAACCTAGCGAAATCCTGTAACTAATTTATTTCACTTTAATGCATGTTTGGTAAATTTGTTCGAAAATTATACTCCCGCGGCTTGTATCACAGTTCACCTTGTTGTGCATTAGGTAAAACTTTGAATCGCAATGAATGAACGCGCGTTGAATGAAAAGTATTACCCGCTTGTATGTGAAATTTAACCAGGGAGAAATTCCGCCAATAACATTCGCCGATCTATTTTACTCCAGAATATATAATTCCTTGTAAATTCTACTTCAAAAACGCTATCTAGCAGACAGTCGAATACCGATGGAATTCTTTCGTCCACACTTCTAGAATTTGGATTAGTATTTATATATTTTACTTATCTTAATTCTTTGATATAACCCATTTTTGACAATATTTTGAGATTGTTATCTATAACAACATCTTCATTTTACGAATCTTAATTAATTCTACCGAACAGCTGAGCATTCCCGAGACACGTATGTCGTCGCGCAAATGCAAACGATTTTTTTGTATCTCGGAATGGCGCGTGCTTGCTTCTTTAGGGCGAGACATTACGAGATCTGAAAAAATGTTAGAAATCTTTCTTCTAATGTGAATTGTTTATTTGTTCTGTTCTTCAGACTTTCGTATAAAAAGCACCTTTTTATCTTACACACACGATTTGTTTAGAAAAAAGGTAAATGAAAATTCTTTTGAGCTGTGAAGTTCAGGTGAGAAACAGATTTCTAGAATTTCAAACGTTTCCGGTCCAAGGTGCGAAATTAGATGAAAATATATAACTTTTCCTGACATATTAATTACTAGGAAAAGATACAGAACATCAAAATAAATCAGTTGTAGCAAAAAAATAATGCCAATCTCACAAATACCTGGCATATGTTTGTGTTTGTTTGATTGATTGATTGATTGATTAATTGATCGATTGATTGATTGATTGATTGATTGACTGATTAATTAATTTATTAATTGATCGATCGATCGATCGATTGATTGATCTAATTACTTTTGATTGAATCTGTTCATGAGAGATCATATAAAATTTGCAACATCGCCCATTCACTTGCACCGGCTTAAGCGGTACTTACTCATTCTTCAACACTGACGTGCTAGAATCAATGATTCCCAAGGACATGTAAAACAAGATGTATCTTCGGCCGAACTAAAACTGGTTTACATGGAAATGGAATCATAAGGATTATGATATTGAGTCTATGTTTGCATTTAACCTTTAAGTTTACAAAATGTAAAGTCCGAAGTAAATCCTTTAAAAGTAAAGAAGAACTAAAAACAGAACAATTTATTTCGTACTCAATATATTTCGTTTGAGTTCATTTTTGCTGCCACGTAATTCATTCATATCTATTGTAAATGTCGTTTAAGCTCTATGAAAAACATTTACGTAATTGAAATTTATAGAATATCGAATTTTTATAGAAAATTTTGTTGTTACGAAATATCCAAATCAACGGATTTAACAACCTTTGGAAATAGCGAAAGAAACCCTAAAATCCGAAAAAAAAAGAACCGGAAGTAAGCTTTCTAATCTAAATATACTTTGACAAACATTTATAATAAAAAAACAACATTCAACCGTTAGCGGTTTTGTAAATACTTCATTAAAATTTAAATACATGAAAATTATAAACTTTATCCATTTCACATAACTAACTGATAATATCGGATACGTTCGTTTACCTATGTGCATTTCGCTATTTTCATGCGCTTGAGTAAACGGGATTGTGGACGAATTTGTCAGTGGTGGTTTCGTTATTTTTTGACGAAATTTGAAACTCATTAAAGCAGCGTAAAATAATCTGTAGGAGAATGTATGTTAGTATAGAACTGATAATGTGTAAGAGAAGGCATGGTTAAACAAAAATGACAGTTAGATATTTAATGAATGTAGATAGTTCGTATCCAGAACTCCTTTACATCAATAAATATTGCGAATACCATATCAGAAAAAAACCTTTATTTTATATCAATAATTTTACAATGGTCAATTAGATTCCGAGATTTCAGATTGAAATTTGTAAATGGCCAATGGATTTTTTACATATATACAGTTTTCCCCTGTAAATTGTACAGGAAGTCCAACCGAAAACACGTTGCTTCCGGCCGAAAACACCAAAAACAGAGTTAAAATACGGGGCAACAATTCCATTTAACATATTTTGCGCGGTACGGGTTAAATATCAGAAAACCACAACTGAACTTGGTACACGAACCAACCAATTTACAAGCAACGCAACCTTAAGCAAACAACGTTATAATTATTTCCTACCAGAAGATCTTTCAGCATTATTGTTGTGTTTGTGGTACTTTTACTTCGTTCTCTGTAGTGTTTTACTAGTTCTAGTATTCCTTCACTTGAATACTGTTTTATCAATCGTAGGCTTTTAAAGTTTGTCCTATAACATCTTAATTGTGATATACAGGCTCCATACCCTTTCACAATTTGATTTTATTTCTTTTCGCTTATTATTTTCTTGTTAAAGGCATACGCACTAACGTATGACATTGGAAGTTCTATGATAACCACCGAATGAACATACCTGCGGTATCATTACATATTTAATATTTTAGTTTGCTGTAGCCGGTGCTAGTGGGTGTGACGATCGCTTGCAGTTTCCCCAGTACTGTTCATAAACAGGCTCTCAATCAAATCTTTCCTGGAACACTTTATTTTGCAGTTTTTGCCTTGCTCTCGGGTTTCTTAATTTCTTACTGTTTTAACATTACAAACTGCATCTTATTAATCTAATTATAAAGTGATACAGTAATAAAAGGAAACGTTATATAGTGAAATTTTGATACAAATTTTATAGAAAAAAAACATCAAAAGTGCAAATCAACAAACGAAACGACGCATATTTGAATACTAGTCAAACATTTGCTAGTGTTATACTGTTTCAGCTTAAGTCAATGACTTTAATTAGTTAAAAATGCGAAGGAGCTTTACGCTACGAAGGAATTACTTTCTCGGTGTGAAAATGAAAGTAGTAAAACAATGTGTAAGCCCACACTAAGTAGGAGTCATGTTAGCATTTATAAAGTAAAAATGTGAAAGAAGAGTCATTTTGAATTATGAAAAAAATAAAGTAAAAAAAAATGTTACAGACTATACGTAGTAGAAAAAGAAAAAGGATGATCCCTTGGAAGCATTTATTACAACAAAATTACATGAAAATTGCAGACACGGCGCAGTTTAATTGAGTTTGTACATGAGTGATAATGAAAAAAATGCAACATTAAAGTACCTGAATCAATTATTCCAAAGGACCAGAAAAATATAACGACAATGAAGTGAAGTACGGGGCAACTTTTTTAAATTTTCGCATTCATTATGAAGTGATAAACAAAGTGAAAAGGTATAAAGAGTCATTTTGCATTAATTATGACAATGATAAAGAAACGAAAATGAAAAACTGAATGAATGACTCATTTTCGGATAAATTACGAAAATTATGAAGTAAAAAATATATGAAAGTCTACATCAAAAATGAGTCATATGCTTTGCCTGTACGTCTACCTGTCATGGAAAAGGCGTTGCATTTCTCAGTCGTCTAGGACAAAAAGAAAATGAATGTTAGTAATTATCTATACAATATCAGAAAATAAATCAGTTGGTAAGAATTTCTCACCTGGCGTTCTATGATTGCCTGAAGAGCGTTTCATCTAGCAAACATTTTCAATGTTATCATCTTATGGTACAACGGAAATGTTCTTGATAATTCTAACGTATCGTTTTCTATATCAATCAAAAATATGTTTGATTTATTATAATAAGTGTGAGATAATTTATAAATTGTTGTTATTTGATAAGCCAGGTGCGCGATTTCCGATTATATTCGTTGCTAAACTTTCTCATGAAAACTGCTATCAATTTAATTTAAAGCTTATTGTTCAAATGATTTGTACTATCATTGATTTATCATTTGTTAATTATCTTGCTGAGTAATCAAAATAGCAGCACACTGAAAGGTAACTCAGTGTTTTAAGGAAGACAGAAAATATATAAATGCATTTATATTCATGTACCTAAAGGTTCATCTAAATGATAAGTAAAGTAAGTTATAAAATACATAATCACTAAATACACCACCTCTTCCCATTTACACAAGTTAGAAAACTAAATGAACACAAATTAAAACAACAGCATTTTTATCATGTTATTACACAATTGTTCATCTATCCAATAACGGAAAGTCTAATTCTTTCGCGTAACGAAGTTAAGTATGAAATCTTATCATTAGTATTATAAAGCTAGTCGTTCCTGTATGTGCGTAATTGAGTGTTTATAGTGCAAAAACAAATATTTTTTGTATTCTCACATGTTACTATCCGTATAAATTTCAACAAGGGGTGACTGTTCTACCTGCAATGTAGCGATTAATGATGAAATAATGTGCAGCACATGTGTGTATCAATCGTTTGAGCAAGTTGGAATTATTCTGTGGTATACCTGAAAGAAACTTGTAAGTCACACGTCAAAGACATTGAACTCTTCAACGAAACGTCATGTCGGTTGTAATTGAATGTTTTGTTTTAATAATGAATTTCTTTAAAGGAAAAGCTTGGTGTAAAGCCACCACCTCAGATCAGTTTAAAGATATTTCATAATATATTCTATTATCTTCAATAGAATATTACTTGAACTATTGATTCATTGATTGGTTAAGTCCAGTCTAATGAATCGAAATGGTATTATTTTCGTCCAAATAAAAATCGGCAATAAAATAAAAGCAATGAGAAATATTTATAAGAAATCTTAATCATAATAAGATTATACATATAGCGCCGGCTTGGTTGGCTTTTTCCAAAGTCAAGGCCACGCAAGGTAATCTGGTGTGGAAGTTTAGTGCAGTTTTAAAGTTCATTTCCGCTTTTGAAATAAAACTAAACGAATTGGATAAATTGTGAAATAATGAGATCATGATGGGTAGAATGAAGATTTTAAATTCCTCAATAACGTTAGTATAAGGAATTCGAACGTAAGCGTAATTTGACTTTCAAAAAACCAGTAAGACTAAAGAAAAAAAATTTGGAATGTTTAGATAAGGTAAAAGGTGATAATGTATATAGGTTAATCTGATTTACCTGCTGAATTTCTGTAACGGATTTGGTTCACATGTGAATTTTAGAAACAATCAATTCAACATTTAATGGATTTTTTTAATCAAATATTCGAAAATTGTCCTATCGACAATATAGAGCCTGGTCAGACTTCATTGACTGGTGGCTAACCATAACTATGTTTGGTTCAAGCAGGTCATGAATTATAGATCGTAAGATTAAAAGAGATATTAAGAAGTTATTTTATGATACTTTAAAATTAAAACAATAATAGAAGTCGTGCATGTTTTATCTTTAACACTTACCAGCACTTAATTGTGTTAAAAAACGTTAAGATTGCACGTTACATAAAACTATTGCACAACTGCTGCAATAAAATGATAATGTAAAAGAACACATGCAAACGCCTGTGTTTTTCATTAAG